TCTCCGGCTTGCCCGAAGGACGACCAAACCCTTAACGCTGCTGGCTTTTAGGGCAGAAAGTCCCATCTGCGCGTGTCGTATTTCTCCATGGATTGGGCGTTGCTGTAGAGCTCGGAAATACCTAAAGTCTTGTCTCACCTGAAGTTGGTAGGATCCTGCCCTGTGTTTGATCCCAGGGATCCTGCCCTGTGCTTGATCCTGGGGACTCTGTTCTGTTTGATCCTGGGGATCCTGCCCTGTGCTTGATCGTGGGGACCCTGTTCTGTTTGATCCTGGGGATCCTGCCCTGTGCTTGATCCTGGGAATCCTGCCCTGTGTTTGATCCTGGGAATCCTGTTCTGTTTGATCCTGGGAATCCTGTTCTGTTTGATCCCGGGTATCCTGCCCTGCTTGATCCCAGGAACCCTGCCCTGTGATCGCCACGGCCCTGGGACACGTGGTGGCTGCTCCCACACTGGAATTGCGGCCGCTGAGATCAGCGCTGCCCGTAACAGGTTTTAAAAAAGAGTCGGCTTCTCATCCAGTTCCTTCCCTTTATTGTTAATGAGAGTTTATTTAAGCTTGCCTGATAAAGTCAAGCCTTCCTAAACCCATCGCCTAAGGGGTGTCAGCCTCTTACCTATTTTTTTAATTGGCCTTTTTAATAAAAGAGAAGGGGAGGGGGGAACCGATTGGGACTGCTGCCGCCTCACGTGGTGATCGTACGATGCCGTGGCTGCCGTTCCTTCCTCTGCTCACCAATGCTTGTTGCATCATGCCTGGACCTGGGCCACGGGCTCCTGAGGAGGAATGTGCCGTGTCTCGGTGTTTATGGAAGCTCAAATTCCACCCAGGGCAAGATTTGGGGGGGGAACCCCCACAGTTGTCAGCTAAAACTCATTTATTTTATCCCTGGTCCTTAGCAGTGTTGGCTTAGAGCAAGGGCATTGATGGTCAGGAGCTGAGCAATGGGTCTGCCTTCTGCTGTAGGGTCTGACCCCTTCCTTGGGATCAGGAAAAACCCAAATTGAGGGTGAAAGAAGGGAAAATTGGACACTTAGTGCTTCCCAAAGCTTTTTTCCCCAGACTCAGTTATCCAGAAGGAAGAGGCTTTTAGCTGGTGAGGGTACTGGGGATTCCTGTGCCTCGCAATTCCTCTGCCTTGAGGCAACGTTTCCTTCTTGGGATGTTTACTGTGAGTGAAAACCGCTCTCAAATACCATCAAATACCATCCCTCGCCTTCTCCCCGTGCTTGGCGAGGCTGATATGTTAGTCAGGGATGGCAGCCCTCGGCCCTGGAGGGCTCTGTGGTGGGGTGATGGACTCGAACCGCGCTCGCTGGGGAAAGTGCTGCGGGCTGATAACCTTATCGTGAGCTTGGGCCAGCTCTCATGAAAAGCACTGAGATCCTGCTCCAGAGGGGCCTTTCCAAACAGCGGATAGTGCTGTGGTGTTGCTGTGATCACCTTCACAGCCTGGCAGGGTTTAAATAGGGAGGAAAGGCTTTTCTTCCTCATTTCCTGATGGGGACAGCGAGGCAATGGGACAGGTTACCCAGTCTCAGTCCCTGAGGACTTTCAAGACTGGAGTGGGTAAAGGCTGGGAGGTAAAAAGCAAGACTTTTCCCCTAAGATGGGTAGAAAAGCGCTTCATAAATGCGTGAACCCTCTCGGCTGGAGGAAATGGCAGCGGGAGATGCGGAGCCAGGGGCTGTTAAGGGATGAGGATTTGACGACTCCACATCAGGGTCTGGAGATTGTTTGGGGGTCTGTGCCTCGCTGTGTCCATGTGTCTGTCCAGGCCAAGCTGTGTGCTAGGGGATGTGGCGCAGGGCATCGCCCCCTCGGTCTCAGCGGTGTTGGTTCTGGGTCTGCGTCACCCCCGGCAGCCCCGTGACCACCGGACCTGCTGCAGCCGGTTCTGGCACTCACACCCTTCCTTGTACAAGCGCGGGAAGCGTTCGGGGAGGAGGAGGAGGGGTGACCAGCTCTGTAGCTGGCCTGGCTGGCTCAGGGAACATCTCAGGGGACACCTCGGTCTCTATTGTTTCAACCTTTTGAGGCAGCTTCTGACTCACCGAAGAAATATTTGCCTGAAGAGGCAGGTTTCTTGCAGGCAAATGGGAGGGAAAGGAGAAAGTGCCTCTGCCAGATTCACTACTGTGCAGCCTGCCCGGACATCATCCCCCTCCTATAACCTCCCTAGGGCTGGAGATAGGGGCAGGTTTATCCCCATTTATCTCCATAGAGCCGCTGTGCTGGTTGAGATGCGAAGGGCACCGCTCCACTTGAGGCCATGGGGTACCCAAAGGACCCCCTCCAAACTGTCCCCAAAATCCCCCAGCTGGAGTGACCTGGCCGGTAGTGTGACGAGCTGGCCTTGGCTTCCTGATCCACAGCAAGATAACGGGGATCATGCGGAAACGTTGGAGGCCGTGGTGTCCCCGGAGCAGCCCGGGTGTTTTTTGTGGGCACACGAACCAGCCTTGACACGGGGCCGGTTTCCTCCCCACAAACGCCCTCCCTTGTTCCCCTGCCGTTTTCTTTGGTGCTGTTGGTCCACGTGCTCAGAAATTGGGGAAGCAAAGGTGGCCTGGTGTTATCCTAAGGAAGCGTTAGGGAGCCTTTGCCTTGCTGATAACCTGGCACGCAGGAATCCCTCTGCAAACCTCCTCTGCAAGGAAATAACCACCCTGGTACGGGGAAAGTGCCCTTCATTTCATCAAGGGGAGGTTTGGCTGCCACGACCGGCAGCTCTGAGCCATCCTAGGCAAAGCACCTCCTGTCCTTTTCTTTCTTCCCTTCCCTTGTGGTTTTTAACCTGGGTTTTTCTGTGTTTTTTTAACGGCAGGCTGCTTTGGGAGCTACAGCATCACCGAATAAGAGGGACAAGGCGGATCCCTTGGACACAAGCAGCGAAAGGGGAGAGTTTTATTACATCGCAGACAGTGGTCTCTATTGCGAGAAGTGCCCTGCGGGTAAGATGGTCTCAAACATCCATTGCACCATGTGCAGCTTTGCTGTGTTTCTACCTGCAGAGCTGGCACATCCTTGCTCCTCATGAGGAGGCAGTGGGTGCCCCTGCTTTGCTGTTGTGAGATCTAAGGACTCTTTATGGGAACATTTTGATAGTTCCTAATTTGCCTCTTAACTTCACTGGGAATGGAAACCTCTCCCTGTCTGCAAAGCCATCTCCATGCTCTGTGTTCACAGATACACCCTTGCTGTCTCCTCCTCTTCCCCATCCACCCCTTCTTGCAGGGAGCTACGTTGGAAACCACTGCACAGAGCAAAATGGCTCCAGCCGCTGTTTTCCATGTAAAGAAGGTGA